AAAAAAAAAAAAAAAAATCTGGGCCAGGCATAGTGGCTCACGCCTGTAATCCCAGCACTTTGGGAAGCCAAGGCAGGCCTTGGCAGGATCGCTTGAGCCAGGAGTTTGAGACCAGCCTGGGCAACATGGTAAAATCCCATCTCTACAAAAAAATATAAAAAGTAGCCAGGTGCGGTGGTGTGCACCTGTAGTCCTCGACTCGGGAGGCTGAGGTGAGAGGATTGCTTAAGGCTGGGAGGTTGAGGCTGCACTAAGCCAAGATTGCACCATTGCACTCCAGCCTGGGTGAAAGAGTGAGACACAGTCTAAAAAAAAAAAAAAAAAAGAAAAGTCTGTTTAGGTGTGGTGGCTCATGCCTGTGGTCTCAGCACTTTGGGAGGCTGAGGCAGCAGAACCACTTGAGGCCAAGAGTTTGAGACCAACCTGCGCAATGTAGTGAGATCCAGCCTCTAAAAAAAATTTTTTTTAATTAGCTGGATGTGGTAGCAAATGCCTGTGATCCCAACAGCTCTGGAGGCTGAGGTGGGAGGATTGCTTTGAGCCCAGGAGGTCCAGGCTGCAGTGAGCCCTGATTGTGCCACTGCACTCCAGCCTAGGTGACAGAATGAGATCCTGTTTTGAAAAGAAAAGAAAGGAAAAGAAAAGACAAGAAAAGAAAGAGGGAGGGAGGGGAAGGAAGGAAGGAAAGAAGGAAGGAAGAAAGGAATGGAGGCAGGCAGAAAGAGAGAGAAAGAAAAAGAAAGAAAGAAAGATCTTACAAAAAAAAATTGAAAGACCTGTAATCCCAGCATTTTGGGAGGCTGAGGTGGGTGGATCACTTGAAGTCAAGAGTTTGAGACCAGCCTGGCCAACAGGGTGAAACCCCGTCTCTGCAAAAAATACAAAAAGTAGCTGGGCGTGGTGGCATGTGCCTGTAATCCCAGGTAATTGGACAGCTGAGGCAGGAGAATCGCTTGAACCCAGGAGGCAGAGGTTGCAGTGAACCAAGATCCTGCCACTGTACTCTAGCCTGGGTGACAGAGTGAAACTCCATCTCAAAAAAAAATTTTTTTTTTGAAAGAAAATATGGTTATTTGGGGATAGAGGGATGTGGGGAGATTGCTTTTCTTCTTTGCACTTCATGTATTTTATTTGCTTTCCTTGAATGAGCATCTACCACTTTTACACAACTAATGAATTGATATCAAAATGAAATACAACTCTCAACACAAAATGTTTAAATTTTAAAAATAAACAACAGTTGTCTTGATAGTTTAAAAAGATGGGCCAGGCATGGTGGCTCACACCTGTAATCCCAGAACTTTGGGAGGATGAGGTGGGTGGATTACAAAGTCAAGAGATCAAGACCATCTTAGCCAACATGGTGAAACCCTGTCTCTATTAAAAATACAAAAATTAGCTGGGCGTGGTGGCACGTACTTGTAGTCACAGCTACTTGGGAGGCTGAGGCAGGAGAATTGCTTGAATCTGGGATGCAGAGGTTGCAACTGTAAGCTGAGATCACACCATTACACTCCAACCTAGTGACAGAGTGAGACTCTCTCAAAAAAAAAAAGATAGAAGACAACAAAAATACCTGTTAATAGAGAACTGAGTAAGTAAATTATAGTAGTCATACAAACATTCCACCCCTGTTTAAAAATATGTTATAGAAAAGATATTTACAGTAATTTCGTAAGTGAAAAAACAGGCCATAAAACAGATGGTAGAGTCTTACTCCAATTTTGAAAAAAAAGAGTATATATTGCCCACCCATAGAAAAAACTGGAAATATCCATGCCAAAATGTTAGTAGTGGTTTTCTTTGGGAAATGAAATGACAGGTGTTTTTCCTCCCTTCCTTTTGCTTATTTATATGTCGTAAATTGGTTTTATCCAGTAGAACTTTCTGTGATGATGGAAATGTTCTCTATCTGCCTTGTTCAGTATTATCATAGCCACTAACCACATGTAGAGTACTTCAAATGTGGCTAGTTGGCTGGGCCCAGTGGCTCATGCCTGTAATCCCAGCACTTTGGGAGGTCCAGATAGGCAGATCACTTGAGCCCAGGGGTTTGAGACCAGCCACGGCAACATAGCAGAACCCTGTCTCTGCAAAACAAAAATACAAAAATGAGCTGGGTGTGGTGGCGTGTGCCTGTAGTCCCAGCTACTTGGGAGGCTGAGCTGGGAGGATTGCCTGATCCCAGGAGGTCCAGGCTGCAGTGAGCCATGATTGCACCACTGCACTCCAGCCTGAGCAGCAGAGCAAGACCCTGCCTCAAAATAAAATAAATAAATGTGGCTAGTGAGACTGAAAAATGAAATTTTTGTTGTATTTAATTCTAATTAATTTAAACTTAAGTGGCCACGTGTAGCTAGAGGCTACTGCATTGGGCAGCATAGTTCTCAAATATTTACCAAGAACACACATATTGGCTTAGCCAAGAGGGAAAAAAGCTTTTCCTCCTTTTTTTCCCTTGTGTGTTTATTTGTTCTTCCCTGGCTTCTTGCAGAGCTCCTTTGAGATCCCAGGGAGAGGCAGTGAATGCAAGGGCTTTGCAAACTGTAAAGTGCTGTTCTCAGGAGGTGCTGCCGTAGGAGATTCTTTTTCCCCTTGCCTGGAACCCTTTTCCTCCTCTCCTTATGGGCTCCCAGCTAACATAGAGCCCTGACCAGAGAAAGCATCTTCGGGTGGTCTCTCAAGGGGGAAGAGGGTGTTCTGGGGTCTGGCCCCTGCAGCTTAGGCTCTCTCCTGAAAAGACTTTCCAGGAGGCATTCATTCACTCATGCATTCATTCAACAACCATTACTGGCCCTCCTTCTTCTCATGAGTCCAGTGGGGTGGCTTAAAGTACAGTGGGGTGAGGCCGGGCGCGGTGGTTCAAGCCTGTAATCCCAGCACTTTGGGAGGCCGAGGCGGGTGGATCACGAGGTCAGGAGATCGAGACCATCCTGGTCAACATGGTGAAACCCCGTCTCTACTAAAAATACAAAAAATTAG